TATCATAGTTATCCATTGTCAAATCTTTTTTTCAAGGTTTTTAGTTTCTTTGCACTGGGTTCATAGTTTCTCCTTTAGCTCTGAGAAGTTTGATTGACTGAAGCCTTCTTCTCTCAACTTGTCAAAGTCATTCTCCGTCCAGCTTTGTTCCGTTGCTGGCAAGGAGATATGCTCCTTTGGAGGGTGAGGCGCTCTGATTTTTTGAATTTTTAGCTTTCCCTCACTGCTTTTTCCCTATCTTTGTGGTTTTATCTACCTTTGGTCTTTGTGATGTGATGGTGACGTACAGTAAAGTATAATTTTAAAAATCATATTTATGAATGACATAGAAAAATCTCATTATATAGTGTTAAGTAACAGGAAATAAAGCTTTGCATACATATGTTCTTAGCAACTTAAAAACATGTATATGTGTATAATGTATATACAGATATACATATATGTGTGTATACATATGCATATACAGAAAAATAGTGTAAGAAAAGAAAAGCACTTTGACTGTTGGATTGAGTTATATTTGATTCTTTATAAGATACTTCACTTTTAGATTTTTCTATAACAATAATGTACCACTTTTCAGTCAGGAAAAAAAAAAAAAACAGAAAACCATAGAAGTTTGTTAAGACCTGTACCCCTGTTTTTCTACTTTAAAAAGTTATAGGATGTAACCCTCCAACCAGGAGAAGCTGAAGAATGCCTTAGGTTCGGGACCGACACTGCCCATTGCTGAGGGCAGGGGTGTGTTCAATCAGAGCTAAATAGAATGATTCATCAGACATGGTCACCTCCAGGACCTTAGAGCCTAACTGAGGAGAAAAGACAGAGGCAGGCACTGTCACAGCTACCACAGATCTTTCTTTGAAATAAAGCCAGGTAAAAATTAGAACAAGGAAATATCAACAGTCTTCCATGGCAGGACAGGGTATGGCAAGCGTTTTGTGCAGCACCGAGAAGATGTCAGAGGTAACAGAGATCTGAGAGGCTAAAACAAACCAGCTCAGTTGCTCCCTCTCACCCCGTGGACACAGGTTGGTGGGGTTGAGTGTAAACAGGAACACAGCCTCCCGCCCAGCTCCCAGGAGTTGGTATAGGAAGAGACATGGCGAGATGTGGAAGAGAAAGCTGCTGCAACGCTGAGGAGGAGCTTGCATGTGGCCAAGAAACCAGGGCAACTGGTAAAAACCAGAAGTGTTTGAGTGGGCAGTGGTATCTTTTATGCTGTGTGCTCTCACCTGTGGTTTGGAAATGACCTCTTGGCCATCAGGAGGCTGGGAGGTTTCTTGAGACACTGTGTTCTCTCCTGAGTCACAAACAGAAATGGAAATAGCAATGGGAAGTTGTGCTTTTCCCATCTATCCTGAAGAAGAGTAACTGGGACACAATCAGCTTTCTTACTGCAGCAGAAGCTCCGAGTCCATAAGCCCAAGCCAATCACAGCCAATACAAAGAATGCTCACATGGCTCAGCTCAATCCCAGCCACCCCAGGACATGCTGTTCAACTCATCCTCTACTTCCACAGCCACTCTTCGGGAATCTTGGAAATCAGAGCAGCATCAAGCGAGGTCACAGGGATCCTCCACCACCTTCCTCTCCATGTGAGCCTCCATCTTGGACAGGACCTAATCCTGGAAGGTCTAAGATCTAATCATTCTAGGTGACTTCCAGCACCTCCCTGGCATCGCTCAGCATTGCTCACTCATACTTAGCCCTTGTTGTCAAAGGTCTGATGAGCCTGAAAAAACTCAGGACCAAGACAGACACATGGGTTTCTGCTGGAGACCCTGATAGTAAGCTTTTGGGTGCAGGATGATTGGAGAAAGAGAACTTGGCCTCTATTTCTCCATCCTGTAATCTCTCTCCTAGAAACTATGTAATCATTTGGATGGCAGGTGTGGCTCCATTTGCCCTGCTGTACCCAGAGGAGAGATGGACCAGGCTGGAAGACAGCAATCTCCTTCAGATATATGCAAAGCACCAGTATAGTGGCTGAAAACTAGCAGGCCCTCAGTAACAGGCACATACCCCCGCATCTGTGTCTTTCCCAGCTCCAACCCAACCTCCTCTGACTGGTCCCAGCACCTCCCTTTCCTGCTTCCTCCCTACCCAGACCCTATACTCAATGTGGCCACCCTAGCTACCAGGTCTTACCAGGGCCCAGGTGTGTCTGCAGCGGTTCCTCCCAGACTGTTCCTCCAGGGGCCTCTGTCACTGCCACACTGCTGCCAGTTCCTGGTAGGTGGATCTCAGGAACTGAGTAAAGAGGCATCGGTGCCCCTGTCTGCCCTGCACCCCCTCCTGCTGGGTAGGAGCCCGGCTGGAGAGGGAAGGGCTGCTGTGGGCTGGGCTGGGGCAGGCAGGTCTGCTCAAGCGTCAGCCACAGAGCTGAGCGGTACCCAGGGGCTTCAGAGTAGCCTTGACATCCAGAAAAGTCCTGGTAGAAAGTGTTTTCTAAGGACATAGAACGAAGGTAAAGAAGTGAGACCTGAAATGTGGCATTTGCATACTGATCACACCAGAAACGTTCCTGCTCATGTCTTCTCTGGAAAGCAGTCACAAGGACAAGCTATCTAATGTGGCTTCCAGTAACGTGATGACAAGTAAAACACAGAGTGATGGTAACACCCTCATTGCTGTTTACGGAATTGTTTCCTTCACTAGTGTACCCTAAAAATAAAATCCTAAGCCCGTCCATTGACTTAACAGACCCCCTCTTGGACAAGGGGACCCCAGAGAAACCTTAAAACTTGAGTTCCCAGCCATGACAGGATGGGAAGTGAGAGTCATTATACCCCCTCTCTTTTGTAGTTTAGACACAACTGACCAGCATTAATGTTAAAACCGAGATCTTAAGACTAACAGATCTTATGGCTTGGTGGCCATAAGATACCAAATTACACACAGAACCTAAAGCCCTGCCAGGCAACGGTTAAGTCCCGCACCTTAAGAATAAACCGTGTTCTCATGGCCACGAGATTTTTTTCTCTAGCAGCTCAGCAAGCACTGGCCTTGAGATGAGCAATGTTAAAACAATTACAACTCATTCCGCTCACAAATGCTGACTAGATGAGCCTCTGTTCCATCAGCCTTAACCACGGCTGTGATTGGACAAGACTGATTTCAGTAACTTTCTCCAGATAAGAAGACCACCAACCATGAACTGGGTCTGCCCAGTTTACAGAGGGTCCCCGCTTGAGTGCTTCTGTGTCCCGAAAAGACCTTTTGACAGGTAAGGCCTAATTGTAATATGCTTAAAGGATAAGTCTCCACCCCAAGGTGAACATGGGTTGTGTTTTACATGCATGTTAGCTCATTAGGCATGTGTGAGGACCTCCTTTGTGAATAGTCACAGCTCCTCCTATAACCTGTTAAATACGTATGTTTCATCAACCCATTCAACTTAAATTCTTGTCTTACCTCTCCTTCCCTCAAAGTGCCTGGCTATACTTCCCAGCCTGTGGGATGGCCACCTTGCAGGCTGGAACCCTTTGTAAGAAATAAAGTCTCCTTTCCAAATGTACACATTGTATGACCTTTTTTTTAAGTTAACACTACCTTGTATGATCTCTGAGCCTCTAGCCAGTGGGATGGGAGGGCTGAAATTACCATCCTATCTAACTCCACATCTTTTTAATTTTTGATAAATTATTTCTTCTTTAAGGACTTCCTAATGGACTTGGGTATTTAAAACTTAGAAAGCTTCCAGCTAAAAACCTAAACCAGCTCACAGAAATCATGGCTTTGTTCTTAAAGAATCAGAGTACATTTGCCCTGGAAAAGAACTGACTGGTAACATAAACTAAGGTGTGGACCTATAACATGATTGGTCACAGGACTGGCATGGGTAGCCGACCCGCCTGCTCCATTGGACACCAGGAGCCAGGGCTGTGGGGAAGCAACATCCACAGGCACCCAGCCTAGCTCTCCTCCACCCCTCACCTTTACAGATCCTGCTACACAGTGAGAAACAGAAGCCAAGGCCTGCCCTGCCCTCCCTTCCCTTTGCTCATGCCTGAGGAAGAACACAGGGCTGGGAAGAGATGAGGGCCCTTTCCTGACCCTACTGTTGGGGAACTTGGGGAAAGAGTACAGAGTTAACCAGGGATATGGTGCCTGCCAACCCACCATTGGGAAGCATCCCAAGGGAAGAGTAGAGATGCCGTGAAAACATTGAAACATACTTATTCCACAGTCATCTGGCAATTGCCAGCTCAAAACTCTTAAGGACTTCCGACATCCCCAACACTAACATATGATACCGATGAACCACAATCTCTGGACTCAAGAAATGTATCCAGCTGGAGAGAAGTTAACATAGGAGAAAGAATTGGCTAACAATACAGTGCAACACAAAAAAACACTCAGGTATTTAAAAACCTGAATCGTGAAGCAGATGCTCTCAGACTGAGGGAATTTAGAAGTGTCGGGGATGTGTGAGGCTGGCAGGAGCTGTGTGGAGGAGGCGCCTGGACAACGGGGTGGATTTACACAGGCAAGGCAGGCACCCTGGGAAGGGAAGGGCGAGTGATTTTGTGAATTACTTTGTCTCGTAGAATCAGATCCTGAGCATCAGCTATGTATATGCTCAGTTCATCATTTTGGGTACCTGTTTTTGTTCCTCTGGCTCCCGAAATATCTGAGCGAGTAAGATGAGGATCCCCAGTGTCTCCTGCTATCTTTTGCTATTTAAAATAAAGTAAAATTCCTTTTAAGTGGCACAAAGGAAAAACAAGAACAGAGAAACAAAGTGATTCAAAACTTAAGCCAAAAAGAAACTTCCAGTGGGGATGACAAGGTAAGGGAAACACTCCTATGCTTAGGGGCCTGGGGGGTCATGTGGATGGGGATTCCAACTCTGCCCAGACCAGGCAGAGATGGCTGGAGACCAGAGTCATCCACCCTCCCCTGAAGGAAGGAGCGCATGGAAAGAACTAAACTGTAGGCCTCAGCACGTGCAGCAGATAGAAGGGGTAAGGCTGGGCGTGCTTCAAAAAATCCACCCTGTTTTTCCTTCAGAGCAGAATGGGAAAAAGAAAATGGAGGAGGCCCTGTTCCAATTACTGTTCCAATTACAACCAGCAGCTTTTGCGATTGTCAGAACAAAAAAGAAAAGACCCAGAAGTCTTTTAAGCAATTGCCCCACATTACATGAAAGTGACACTGGTCCACTGTGATCCATTGTTCCTAGCAGAGATGGGGAAGCTTTGATGGTCATGAAACATATTCTGTGGGGCCTCAGGGAAGGGTGTCAAGAGTGATTGGGAAGAGCGCCCCAACGTGTCACATGTGAATATAGGAAAACGCTTCCACACAGGGACAAGCAGCGGCAAGGAAGCTGAGTCCCACCCCTTCCCCAGACACCAACTGTGCCTCATGGGTGATGGAAGAGACCACGGCGAGGCATGGGGACCAGGGACTTGCTAATGTCAGTGCCTACCTGTTCCATGTCTAGGGGAGGGAGGAGGGAAACAAAGGCCGACACCCGCCCCCCACCACTGCCCTGGCTCCAACCCCACTCACCTCCAGCTGCCTCCGAAGTTGCACTAGCCAATCTGGCTCTAGGTCCCTGTCTCTACTGCGTCTTTCTAAAACCAGAGGATCTGATAGCTTCAGTTTCTCTGCTAGCTGTGCCAGGTTTCCAGATGGGTTAGGGGCAGAAAGTAAGAGAGAGGAGAGGAGAGAGAGGGAAGAGAAACGGAAAGACAATAGGGAAGAGAAAACAAGGAAAAAGGAGAAAGAGAGCCTTTACTCACTTGTAAATTACATTATAAAAAATAATCGAAAAATAGCTAATTCAGCAGACATCCTTCCAAAATTGCAACATAAATCATTAACCTGTCTTGGGTATTAGATTCTAAATAAAGTATGAGGAGAAACAGTTACTCAGCTTCATTTCTGTGCAAAGCTGTCTGCTCTGTAACAGTGTTTCTCAAACTTCGGTGTACATACAAATTTTGTTTGAATTCTAATTGTAAACTTGTTAAAATGCTAATTCTGATTCCATACATCTGGGCAGGGGTGAAGAGTCTGCACTTTTAACCTGCTCCCAGGTGATGCTAATGTCACTTTGTATTTCAAGGATTTATTCCATCAACAAGTTTTAGTTACCAAAACTTTTCTAATCATTCATTCTGAGCTCCTTGCAACCATCAACCTGTTGGCAGAAACTTCAGGGGATGGGGAGGCTCACCACCACAAATTTTTATCGTTAAAGAATCCAGCACTTCGGCCTCATCTAAGGCAAAACAAAAATTTAAGGGTAGGCTGCTTTTTAACTCTCTAGCTAATGGGTTTTTCTTCAATTAATTGAAACAACTATTTGCTTGATTGTTGTTTTCTTCCCTAGGAACTAAAGGTTGATATGTTTTTGTTTTCTATTTTAAATGTATCTCACATGTGATAAAATATTCCATGCATTTAAAAGCATTTTAATAAGGATCATTTACTCTTTTAATCACTAAAATATATTTTCTAAGCCCAGCTTTTATAATTAGAATGGTTCACCATAGCATGTAGTTTTACTGTACCAGAAAAGCAGATGCAAAAATGAATTTCCCAAGCAGCACCGACATGGTTTCCAGTCTCCAATCCCACCACCGCCCGCTCAGAGAGCATCCTTTGTGTAGTGTTGGGCCTCTGCTTATCGCATCTGGGCATGCATACGTGGTCAAAGACGGCCGTGGGCTCCAATTTTACGGCAGGTTCAAAGAAGATGAAATGTAGAGTCTAAGCTGCTCTACAATGGCATTCTTTGAATAGTGAAGATAAAACAACTGCACAGAACCCTTTGAGAGGCTCACCTTGATGAGTTCCGCTAACAGCACAGGGTGACTGCTCTCTCCCTGGCTCAAGACAGCTGCACCAATGGCTTCGCAGTAATGCAAGGCCTGGGACACGAGGCCGTAATCTGCCAGACGGGAAGCATAAAGGAGCTTATACACCTGTGAAGGGAAATGAGTCAGTGACTAGTCCATCCAGGCAGGGGGAGAGAAAGAGAGAGAAATGTAGATAAGACTTCTTGGAAGTCAGCTGACTGTCAGCTTCCGCTAACTCTGGCATCCAAATATCAAGAGGCTTGTGCCATTTGGAGCATTTTATCTATGCACGGGCACAACTCCAAATCCAGCCTCCAGTTCCTGCATTACAGAGAAAAGAACAGGAGTCCCATCCGCTCAACGTTCCTAGGTCCTGGTCACCGTGCAAAGTGCACTGGAGTCCTTATTTATTGGGTAGCCCACATATCCAGAGAGCCTGATGTACAGGCACAGGACCAGGCAAAAGAGGGACATTAAAAGAAACAAAAATAGCCTGGGTGCAGTGGCTCACGCCTGTAGTCCCAGCACTTTGGGAGGCCGAGGCAGGCGGATCACTTGAGGTCCAGAGTTCGAGACTAGCCTGGCCAACATGAGGAAACTCCATCTCTACTAAAAATACAAAAATTAGCTGGCATAGTGGCATGCACCTGTAGTCCCAGCTACTCGGGAGGCTGAGGCAGGAGAATTGCTTGAACCCAGGAGGCAGAGGTTCCAGTGAGCCAAGATCATGTCACTGCACTCCAGCCTGGGTGACAGAGTAACTCTGTCTCAAAAAAAAAAAAAGAAAAAACATAGACCCTAGTGCAAAGGGCATAAAGTTAATGGAGAAAGCTTACTGAGAAAAACAACTAAGCTCTCATGAAAGCATGAGTGCCAGGGCAGAAGCAAGTGTGAGGGCTTTGGTATCAGACAGACCCAAGTTCAAATAAAAGTTCCATGTGAGGTGTGAGACACTGGGCTAGTTACCTCATCTCTCTGTGCCTCAGTTTCCTCTCTACTACATGGGAATACTACTACTACCTACGCCCTTGGTTGTTATGGAAATTAAATGAGATAATTCAGGTGAAGTACTGAGAAGAAACAGCATGCAAGAGATGTGGGCCGATAGCATGTAACCCTTCCGGGCCTCCGTTTTCTCTTTTGTAAAAGGGAGTTAATCATGCCTACATTACAGGATTTGAAACAATACACAAGATGTATAACGCCACAATGCCGGGCACACAGAGCACATTCAAAGTAGCCAATCTCATTACTAATACCAGCCCCAAGCAGCACCAAAATAACTGAGAGTTGGGATGAATAAAGAAGAGAAAAAAAAAGGAGACCAAAGAGCCGGTCGAGGAACTGCAAACAGGAGCTCATCAGGCAAGGTTTTGCTGGAAAAGGTGAGTCTTTGGCAAAGCCGTTAAAAAAGAAGATGCTATAGGACACATGCCTAATGCATGTGGGGCTTAAAACCTGGATGACAGGTTGATAGGTACAACAAATCACCACGGCACATGTATACCTATGTAACAAACCTGCACGTTCTGCTCATGTATCCCAGAACTTAAAAGAAAAAGAAGAGAAGATGCTAATTGGGCCATTTCTCTATGACAAAGGAATTCACTTTCAAGGCTTTGTGTTGTGTGTGCATGTTGTTGTAATTGTTGTTGTTGCTGCTGCTGTGTGTACCCTCGACACCAAGCACTGAAGGAGAAACAAGGAATTGCTGGAAAAGATCTCTACCTAAAGAAGATAACTAAGGTAGGAAGATAAGGTACCTGTGCATGAAAGGCAAGAAAACACAAGGCAGCATGAGGTCAATGTCAGTGGGGGCCCCTGGATTCAGCTGTGGGAGCCACACTGTGCCTGCCATGGCCTCAACACTGACAGCAGTTGCTGTGTGCCAGGCGCTGTTCTCGTGCATTAGAGAAACTAACTCAATTTCATGCCCGCTCCGTTACAAAGCACCACTGTCATCCCATTTTACAGCTGAGACCACTGAAGGCTGCCATCTCAGTCATACTCATAGGCGTGGTCCGGGGAGCCTGCATGGAGGAAGGGATGGTGCTGGACGTCAGAGCTCACGGAGGATTTAGACGGAGGAGGGCACGATGTCAGCACTGGTCTTAATGAATGTAAGGTGACAACGGCATCATGGAGAAACATTGTGAAGACAGGGTGGAAACCACAGCATGGTCATCAACCGCACAGCTGATGCCCTGAGAGGGACGAAGAGGGGTGAGGGCCAGGGCTGAGCACAGAGGGATGGCCAGAGGTAGAGGACAGAGGAGTTCAAAAGAGGCCCGAGAAGGAGCGCGGAGCAGAGGGAGGGTGAGCAGCCACTGGGCTGGGCCTGCGTTCCCACTCCCTCCCACAGGACAGCTGCAGGGGCTCAGAAGAAGGGAGAGCTGTCTGGAGAGACGGGGAGAGGGAGCTGACAGCAGGAGTGAGGCGCAGGCCAGGGCGGCAGGCAGAACGTTCAGCAGTCAGGCAGGAGCCTCCAGCAGAGAGGCCTCTGCAAGGTTTTACCTTTGTATTATAAAAGGCAGACCTTTAGGGGACATAAAAAGAAATCCTACACCCTCCCACGCTTAAGCTAATGAGGAAAAGTTCAGTGATAACTTAGCCCCAGGTACTAAGTGCCAAAAAGCAAAGCTGGAAATACAGCTGCCTGCAGCTGCCTGCAGCTGCCTGACAGTGACAGTGGTGGCCTCATCTGGGCTCGGTTACCTGGAAAGAAGGGATGAAGGATTTGGGGCGGCCCAGCATCTGGCAGTACTCGAAGATTTCCGTCCTCTGGATTGCCTCAGTTGTTGCAAATTTCAAAAACTCTTGACTAAAACCAGGGAATAACAATAAAAGAGATTGAGGTGTGGGGGACACGGGAGTTAAATCCTAGTGGATCGCCAAACACCAGCTGCAGCCTTTCATGGGGGAGTTTCCATCCTGGGCTGATCCCTGCGGCGGCTTCAAGAGAAGAAAGAGACTCTGGGCTCCCAGAATGAGTGTTTCACCTCCTCTCCCTCTCCCTGCTTGAGGCTGAGTAAGGAACAAAACAGACCTCTGCACCAGAGGCACTGGGAGGCAGAGGCTGCGGAAACAGGGCGCCGCCTGCCTCTTCTTGCTGAAGGGTAACTCAAGGCACTGGGCCCTCCTCTTAAACACACGGAGAGCTGGCCCCCATGCCCATAAAGCCTGTCGTGTATCTGTAAAGAGCACCCCTAGTTTGAGCAAACTTGCACAAAAGAGGGGAGCCATGTAACACCCCAGGAGCACTGAGACCAAAAGGCATGGCAGAGCAGGCAAGGACGGCTGAGCCAGAAATCGAACAAGCGTCTGTACATTGGATGTTCATTCCACCAGTGAGGATGGGGACTGAGTGAGTGTGATCTGGTCGGGGTAGGTGGTGGGGGGCACAAGAGTCTCATGCGACCCAAAATTTCTCCCATCAACAGCTCGCCATGGTGTTTAAAATCACAATCAGGGTAGGACTTTATTTCTAGGAATTTCCTCATTCAACATAAACCAACATAAACATAGGAGGGGAGGCATATTAGCCCATACACGCTTATTGTACATTTGGCACAGGAGGGATTCTTTGACAAGCTAGCCGTGTGCTATCAGAGACCTGGACCTGGAAGGAACAGGCATGAGCTGGGTAGTTGCCTCAGCGGGAGGCAGTGTGGTGCAACAGTTAAAAGGGCTTTGCTGCCTGACTGCCTGGATTCCGAGTCCAACTCACCCACACCCTCGCTGTACCATCTGAGACAAGTTATTTCATCTCCCTGTGCCTCGGTTTCCCTCCTCCATGAGTACGATTAAAATCTTTGCTTGACTTCACTTCTTCATAGGGTAAATGTGTAATAATTAAAGGAAATAGTGCAAAGAAAACGCCTGGCACAACGTAAGAGCTTAGTGACTCTTAATGTGTATGGGGAGGGGGATAGAGAGATACAGAACAGGGAAGGCCACTAGGGAGCGAATCGTTTTGTCCGTGCATTCATTCACTGGGAGCTGACCGAGCGCCTCCTGCAGGAAAAGCCTAATGCTATGGCCAACAGAGAATGTCACCAGTGGGACTCTAAGTAGCTTGTGCCCCAAGTCATTGTAGGGATGCTAGGGCCCCAAAGAGGGACTAAACATAAACTGCTTCCATTATCCAGTTTTGCCCAGGGTGGGCTCTCAGAACAGGCCCAGGGCTGCCTAAGACGGACCCACAAGCCTCCACACATAATTGGTTTTTTTAAGGAACAAAGTCAGCTTGTGGAGCCAGGGTGCCACCCAGTGGCCAAAGGACACAATACTACACAAAGGCATCAGCCCACCTCTTTGCAGAGCAAGACCCAGGGCCTGAGGCCCCCGCTGATGCTGCAATGTGGGGCCCACGGGGCATCTCCTTGCACAGACATGCACAGGTAACAGTCCCAGATAAGGGAGCCAGCGGAAGCTGAAATTCACATGAGAAAATGAAAAATGGATTCATAAAACCCAACAAGGGCTAAAACAATCCCTTGGAAAACGTCCTTCCTGTTTCCTTTCTCCCAGGTCACATACCTGTGGCTGCTGCCCAGCAAGACCAGATGATCTGTCTTCACGGTGTAGTGGCCAAAGGGCACATGGGCCATGAGGTAACAGAAGTGAGCTGCCTCCACAAGCCCCTTCCCAGCTGCAGGAGGAAGAGAACAAGACCCAGTCCCGGAGCACACCCGTGTGGGGGCCCATCATCCGGGTGGGATAGGAGAGAGATGGAAGAGTGGCCTCGGGGGTCAGAGGGGAGAAGCTACATGGGACTAAATGAATAAGCCTTTCATAGCATGAGTCACAGACCCCTAAACCCCACTCCTCCCACCAGCCCATTTGGCCTCAGACGTTACATTTCTCTTCAGCCAGTATAAGGCACGATTTCACCTTCTAGCTAAAGGATTTTTCTTTTCTTTTTTTTTTTTTTGGAGACGGAGTCTTGCTTAGTCGCCCAGGGTGGAGTACAGTAGCCCAATCTCGGCTCACTGCAAGCTCCGCCTCCCTGGTTCACGTCATTCTCCTGCCTCAGTCTCCTGAGTAGCTGGGACTACAGGCGCCCACCACTCCGTCCGCGATCTAAAGTTTTGTTTGTTTGTTTGTTGTTGTGTGTGTTTTTTGTATTTTTTAGTAGAGACAGGTTGGTTTCGTTGTTGCCAGATTTGGCTCGATCTTCCACCGACTCGCATCCGCCGCCGTCTCGGCTCCCAGGACGTGCTGGATTACACGGCTATGAGCCACGCCCCGCACCCCGCCTACTAAAGGATTTTGATGGAGGAATGTCTCCTGAACATTTTATCTTCCTGGGGTAGGAGAAAAGGATTTGAAATGCCTGCACCCTGAGCAAAGAAGGACCTAACCCCGGAAAGTCGCCAATCTCTTAAACTAGCGCTTCCTGGGGACCATTTGTTTTCCCTGCTAAAGTCAAACATAAAAATCCACATTAAATTACCAACCAATGTTTGGGGGGGGGCTCTGTTTTTGAAATGTCTCGCTCATACATTTCGCAGCGTGCTTCAAAATTGAGTTAAATTCAACTACGATTACAATACCTACAGCAGCAGTGTCGTCTGGCCCCCAAGAACGGTTCAAACAAACATTAGTTCCCTTCACTACAGGGTGGCTGCGTGTCCTCCCTAAAATGACTTTTGTCACAACCTTACCATTCGCATTTAAGTCTAACAGCAGCAGTAGTTTTTAAAGTCCCATTAGGAGCAGCACATCACTGCTTCTTGGGCTAAATTTGAAACCAACTGGTCTGGAAGCGAGCAGAGAGGCCCCCTAAGTGTTTATAAGGCCACATTCACAGAGAGATAATAGGAAAGCAAGACTTACAGGTTAAACTAAGAGTGGCTTCAGGCAAAACAGAAATTTCCTCTCCTGATGAACTGGGTCATCACAACACAGGAGGACACAGTGTCCTAATGCTAACTCATCCACAGGGGATGACGCCAGGCTAGAAAAATGCAGCGCTGAGAAGCAGACTCCTACAGCGAGCAGAACACCAAGGCTAGGGACGCTGCCCCTGGCATTCACCCACGCGCAAGAAATTCTGCGAAACCAGAGAGACAGAAGGACATGCATTTCCCTGGAGTTAACTTCCCCAAAAACATGGACACCCTGGTCCAAGGAAAGCCTGGCGGCATAGACTCTGGCCCTACCTAGAATCTGAGAATCTAAGAGCAGGATGTTTAAAGCTGGTCTGGACAGGGAGGAGTTGGGGAAGGTAGGGGACGGAAGGGAAGGGGAGGGGAGGGAAGGGGAGGGGCAGGTCAACGCTGGTATCGCTTACCCAGAGTGTCACCCATGGCAACAATCGCACGCTGATACAGCTCCGGGTCCCCAGCCTGATTTGACAGAATCACAGCCAAGTGAGGCCTCCAGTCTCCCCACTGCTTTTCTCCACAACACTGAAAAGCACCAGAAAAAAAATAACTTAAATGTACAATCATTTAGGAATGGCCAGATGTACATAAAGAAGACTGTTATCTATTTCCTGGTTCACAAGCTGTGAGAGAACGCCCACTCCACCACCTGCAATGATGCCATTCATTGATTTAGAGTTCTCATCTTTAAAAAGGTAAAACTCTCAGAAGGACACAGATAGACAGATACGTATACATGCATACATACATGCATTCACAGGGATATTGGAAAATGGATAAATAAAATGACATTGCTCACTTACTACTTTTCACATTTCTCCCCAGTGCTTGACCCCCAAATAGCTAGAGACAAAACTCAGAAAAACCCTGAGGCTTCAGTGGTTTTTTGGTTCAAGATCAAACATCCTTGGCTCATGAGTAGAAGAGGCCACAGCCTGTCACAGAAGTCAGAGGAACACGGGCCTGCTTAATGTCTTACCAAATACCTCTGTTTTCTGACTTTACAAAGCCCATTCACACACATCCTCTTATTTAATCTTTACAGCAACCCTATGAAGTCCGGTTCCTATTACCACTTTAGGAATAAGAAAATCAAGCTAAGTGTCCCAGCTAGGACAATGCAGAGGCAGCAGAATTCCACCAGGGGGCAACAGAGAGTAAGCAGCGTGGTGGAAATGTACAAAACCCCGCATAAATGGTGTTTTCCCTACCATCTCTCCCTAAGGCTGTCCTACTAAACAAAGGAGAATTTCAAGGCAGAAAATATCAATAAAGAAACAATATAACGTCATGGAAACAATACAGGTCCCAACTCGAGTCCTGCATCTTACTAGCTTACTTACCTTGAGCAAGTTTCTTAATGTCTCTGAACCTTTGTTTTCTCATCCCTAAAATGGAGATCATAATTTCCACCTAACAGGTTATTGTTGATAATAAAATAAGATAGTTGTGTAAAGCACATCGCATGGTGCTTCACGTTTGGTTTGCACTTAATTACATGTAGGTATAAATACATACACACATAGACACACACACACACAGTTGGATTCTGAGCAGAGGAAAGAGGTGATTTGCACAGCTGCCTACCTTCCGATTTGTTATATAGATAGGTAGGGCAGGAGATTGCCAATAATAACTAAGATTTGGAGGTTAAAACCATTCATAATTACTTGGTCTTTGTAATTATCCCAGGGAATAAAAGATGCTTTATTCAACTCCATTTTACACCCACTCCTTGTTGATCCAGTCAATGCAGTGTGAAGAGGATGATGACAATGATGGTGATGATAAATCATAATAATAGCAGTTCTCATGTGTCACATCGAACCATGAACCATATCCTGTGCTAAGCGTTTCCCCTACCAACAATCACATGTGCTAAGTCCTATTATGACCTTCATTTTAACATGTAAGCCAAGCTGCTTCTTGCTGATCTACAGAAATCAGCAAAAGAGAAGGAAATCCCTTGCTAAACACACACACACACAAAGAAAAACTTAGAGGTCATTATTCTGTCTCCTCGCTGGTGATTTGAAAAAGATCACTATGAATCAGATCAATGGAGAGGTGGAGGGGACACAGGAGAGAGGGAGAGAGAGAGAGAGAGAGAGAGATAAAGCACCAACATTTATTAATTAACGTCAATGGGCCAAGCATGATGGTTGATATGTTCGGATGTTCTCTCTCCTTTGATTTTCACAATAACTCTACTGGTTAGGAACCAAAATCCCAATAAAGATTAAAAACAGGCTCTGTGAGATTAAGAAACAAAGCCAAGTTCACCTGGCAGAAAGGCATACATAGAGTCTAGGTTAAACTGGTGTGAAACCCACGTCTGTGTTGTCCTGTTGCCGTGCTTTTCCACCACCCCATTCATCACATGAAACTGAAATCCAGCCTTTTAGTACATGCCGAAGTGCTGGGAAACTCCCTAAGATCAAATAATGCATTGACACATCACCTCTGGCTCCTCCGTTCTCTCATCTAAAAATAGGGGAAATTTAGCTAACTCTACTATTACAAAAAAAAAAAACAAAAACAAAAACACACACACACAATGAACCATAGCTAATTGTATCACTTCCTGCATTTAGTGCTTCATAACATAATGCAGTTCCATTGTGGAGTACAGGCCGTTCCACTGAATTGTGAGGCACACTCTGTGCTACAAAATAGCCGGTTGATTTGATGACGGGGCATGAAAATCATTTCTCTTTTCTTGGAATTAGCCACAAGCAATAAGAAGGATTAAAAAAAAGAAAAAGGAAAAGCGTGAGGTCAATTTTTATTAAAACTAGTGTTCACCAAAACCCAAGCCTCAAGATATGAGAAAAGGCTACCAAAAGTAATGGCGATTGAACAGAGGTCCCTCCATGGGGAAGCCGAGAGAACACAAGGGAGAGGACCCCACAGCTCTCCCCATCAGCTGGAGAGTGGCAAAGGCAACTCAGGCTCACACAGAAAACTCTGGGTCCTGCAGAAAATGCCAGATGGCCTGGAATATGGCCTGGCCCATCCTCTGCACGAACCTAATATAAATAACTGGAAATATAAACCCAGGAAAGATTCAACTCCTTTAAAGTTATGTAATATGAGAAAGCAAGCACAGAATGTATACAAATAAACCCTAAGACAGAAGGAGGAAGGTAACATGAAAAATAGAGGGGAGAGAGAACATTCACTACAAAAACGTTACCACAAAACAAATGAAAAATTGTCACCAAACATTTTGTCATGAATTTAAGTAAAATAATGAAACAATTGCGTCTGTGAAGCAAGAGCATAATCTGAGTTATAAGAGCCCAGGAAATAGATGGTGGATAACAGGAGATGAATGTAATGTGCAGAGCTCAGGAAAAAAGTAGGGGGAAATTGAAGAAATAGACAGAAACACCAGAGCACAAAAGCAAGAGACACCGGTGAAAACACAGTAAAGGACAGAGGAAGGAAAAAAGAAAGGAAGGAAACAGGGAAGGAGGAAGGGAGGGAGGAAGGGAGGGAGGGAGGAAGGGAGGGAGGGAAGGAAGGAAGGGCGGGCAAGAGAGGAAAGAAGAGAATAAAAAATTATTAAAGAGAAAATTATAAGTATAATTCATGTATGTATATATATGAAATATGTGTACATGGAATTCCTGAAAAGGAAACCAAAATAATGGGAACAAAACAAATATTGAAGGATATAATCCAAGAAAATATTCCTGAACTCTAACATATGAATGTACATATTAAAAGGACATGCTATATATACCCCAAGGAAAAAAATGGATCCAGACAGTCAACACCAGGGCGTAATCTAGTAAAGTGACTGGACATCAAAGGTAAGGAAGAATACTTTGGGGCCAAAAGATCAAGTCTCCTATAATGGGAAAACTATCAAGCTGGCCTCAGACTCTCAGCCACATCAACTCTAGAACACTGAAATCGAGTATGTCCAGCTTTGAAGTGCCAGTGTGCAGTGGTGGGGAGCATTCCCCCAGAGAAAAAGAAGGGCAGCCCTGCCAGGGGAAGCCTGAAGAACAGGCACAGGTCCTCTTGCCATTCACACAAGAGCAGGCAGCTTTGACATTTTGGGAAGGCCAAGGTCTTCAGAGTCAGACAGACCCAGACAGATCCTGAGCCCACCACTCACTATCTCTGACCTTGGGTCATCTTACACCTTTGCAGCTCAGTTTCCACATCTGCAAAGCAGAGAGAATATTTCCTACCTCTATGCATTAAACCAAGTAATATGCATCAAAGCACTTAGCACAGGGCCCAGCACATGGTAAGTGATTAACAAACTATTAATATTATCATCACGTTTGCTCCTGAAAGCCATCACACTCCTGAGCAGTCCCCACCCCCTCAAGCCCTCGGGATGCCAGGGTGGTAAAGGAATCCTGTCACAGGGGTACCGTGGCTGCCTGCGGAATCCTCCCCGACATGAGCTGGAATAGGGTCTGCAGTGGGTCATTGAGCGCCAGCGTGCTGGTGAAGCTGCAGAGAGAAGGATAGTCAGTGAGGACCACGCCCAGGGAACCTCTTTACACACTGCCCATAAGGCTCAGGGCCTCACCTAATTTTATCAGATTTTGGCAGCTTCCTTAGGAACGTGAACATCTCTTTACTTTCTGCCATGCCTCTGTCACATCCTCCTTTGAGGAGAGATGGCAGGGTCCTCAATCTACCGCACACCCCAGCTAGATCTCATTGTTGGGGGTATTTTCTGCACCTTGGTCTTAATGGCCTAACTCTGGAATAACCATTTCTGTGGGCCTTCTTCCATCACTGAGATGACCCATTGACATCTCAAAGGTCCCCTGGAGGGCCACAGCAGTTTATCTGGAAGCTTTTCTCCATAGGCACCCCCTTCCCAGCCACCCCGATCTCCCACTCCCTGCAGCCCTCCTCCACACCAAGCCCACAGCACTCAGTGCCGTTTTTCTGGCTCATCAAGAGCCTGGGTCTGTAGTGCTTTTGCTCACAAGCACTAAATAGCCATTTTCAGTAACCAAAGAGGCGTGGAACAGGGGCCAGAAATGATCCTGCTGATGACAAACCATGGGATATGCTTAACAAGGATATAATAAGCTCTACAGCTGATTTGAGATTTAAGCTTACTCAGTGAGAGGTATTTTTCACAATTCACTGGGCTCCATCAAAAATCAATGGCCCAAGGCAAAAATCTGTAGCAGGGATGTATGCTACAATGTGGGGCTGTGGGATGTTCGTTTTCAAAGCCCAAAGGAAAATCATGCTCAGAACACCGTCCTTTATTTAACAGCACCCTTGCCACCGGAACTCCAAGCATGTATCATAATACAACTTCTGTGTTCCTCACCATTCCAGTCTCCAGGAAGACTGAAGGGTGGAGTCGTCACGAGACTCAACCGAGGCCATCATCCAGAATGGGCCCACCGGTGGTGCAGTCATTAGGCCCTCAGACTGAACTTAACATGGAAGTGTTAAGTGTTTTTGTTTGTTGGTTTGTTTGTTTTTTTGAGATGCAGTTTTGCTCTTGTTGCCCAGGCTGGAGTGCAATGATGTGATCTCTGCTCACTGCAACCACCACCTCCCAGGTTCAAGCGATTCTCCTGCCTCAGCTTCCAGAGTAGCTGGAATTACAGCCGCCCGCCACCATGTCCAGCTAATATTTGTATTTTTAGCAGAGACGGGGTTTCACCCAGGCTGGTCTCAGATTCCTGACCTCAGGTGATCCACCCACCTCGGCCACCCAAGGTGCTGGGATTACAGGCGTGAGCCACCATGCCGAGGGAAGTGTCATCTTCTAATTCAACCTCTGCCCAACAGGATTTACGGCCAATTCAAATGTAAGTTCAGCTGAGAGGATAGCTTCCTTCACAGCTCTAACCAGCACTAGAAGCTCAACACTTTGAGGTAGCATCTTTCTTGCTGTCTGACCCAAGTCTGCCCCTTACAGGAGGGTCCCTCACCCCACCCACCACATTTGTCCCTGCCAACCCGTGGATGCTAGGAGGAGCCTGAAGGACTTATTCAGAAAGCCTTCTCCATCCAGCACCCCTATTTGATCCTGGCTTTCTTTCACTCTGTTTCATCTCCTTATTCCAAACTCCTGGCTATGGACTCTTGCTTCCATCCCTAGCTCATCCTGGTTTGGGCATTTTTCCTGGTTCACGCTGGCACCCAGATCACAGTGTGCTGACGTCATTTCTGACTAAGCACATCTCTTCAGTCTCAACACCTCCCACTGCCGCCGATGCAGACTTCTGGATCTCACTGCCAGTGCAAAAACTCCTTTTCCTACCACAGCTCACGACCCTGCTACCCCACACCCCTACCCTACTCTCAGTACCCAGACCTCATCACAAGTATAAACAGTAGACAACTGCTTACGTCAAAGACCCTCAGTCCCAAGGCTCTAAGGAAGTGATCACCTACCCCTCATTACCAGAACTAGCTGGAACAGCCGCTCCCAAAGAGAGAAGACTACTGCAATGTAAAAACCTATTTAATTTTTGGAAACTCTCACCCTGGGCAATTTTACTAAAACTCTGTATTCAATTTAGCAGGTAGAAAGAATGTATCTGTGTCTAAAACAGAGACATGCTATGTCCAGCTCAGAAAAGAGAACATGGAAAGATCCCTGGAGTGGGAGGCTCCTCGGTGCGTCTGGCGTTTCTCCACACCCTCATCCTCCACCTTTGGTGAGGAGGCCTCTCTGCCCCACTGGTCTCTTTTGTTAAGTTCCAACTCACCCACTCATGACCCAGCTGTAGGTCCGTGGGTCCATCTTGCTGGACAAGAACAAAGCATGGCCCCACAAGTGGTTCTTCATGGCCCACTCCAAGGCTTCCTGAAAACCAAAACATCACATTCAAGAGTGCCTTTCCCACCTTCCACTCACAACAAGTTCTTGTGCTTAGGCGCTGCTGCATCCTGAGCAGTGGAGGCTGGGCTTCCAGAAAATTCTTAGAGCCTCATATAAGAATGTGAACAGCCAGGAAGCAGGTTGTAGCTAGCATAGTGTTTTTCTCTAGGATGTCACCTTCACCAGCCTTCACTTTATCAAAATCCACTGTGCTATTCCATCAGCTTCCCGTCAGACATGGTTGCCAGTTAGCCTCATCTCTTTAGCAAAAGTTTCGTAGCACTTGAACATCAAGACTGCAGTAAATACCAATGTATAGTATACTTGAAAATCACTAAGAGAGGAGATTTTAAGTGTTCTCATTAGAAAAAACATGATAAATATGTGATGTGACACATATGTTAACTAGCTCCATTTAGCCATTCTACACTGTGTGTGTATATATACACATATATATCATGTTGTATACTATACATATATACAACTTTTGTCAATTAAAAAAATAAAAGATAGCATCATATACAAAAACAAGAAATTAAATATTTAAATGTAAAAATGAAAAGTACTTCAACTTCATTTTTATAAATTAATTTTGAAGTAGAAAAAGCCTTTCTAAATATGACCCCCAGAAACTTACAATTTTACACAGAAAACCCTAAAAACATAAAGAGCTCCAACAAATCAATAAGTGAGGATCAGAGACTCAATAGAAAAATGCAGGAAATCAATGACAAAAAATTCACAGATTAAAAAATATTCAACTTCATTGAATTCATTTTGAATTGAATTGAATTGAACGTATTCATTTCAATAAGAGAAATGCAGGCCTAGTGTGTTGGCTCACACCTGTAATCCCTACACTTTGGGAGGTTGAGGGGGAGGATCACTTGAGCCCAGGAGTTTGAGACCAGCCCTGGCAACACAGCAAGACCCCATATCTACAAAAAAAATTTAAATTAGCTGATAATTTTTTCTTTTGAGACAGTCTCTCTCTGTCACCCAGGTTGGAGTGCAGTGGCATGATCTCAGCTCACTGCAACCTCCACTTCCCAGGTTTAAGCAATTCTTATGCCTCAGCCTCCCAAGTAGCTGGGACTACAGGCCATGCCACCAGGCCTGGCTAATTTTTGTATTTTTTGTATAGATGGGGTTTCTCCATGTCACCCAGGCTGGTCTGAAACTCCTGGCCTCAAGTAATCTGCCTGCCTCCCAAAGTGCTGGGATTACAGGCGTGAGTCACCACGCCAGCCTTTTTTCACTTCTCAGATTGGCACCTATCAAAGAGTTTGAAACACACTTCGGTGAGAATGTAGGAAAACAGGTACTCTCTTGCATTGCTGGTAGAGTGAATTGGCACAACCTCTAAAAGGCAATTTGTCAGTATCTATCAAAATTACAAACCATATCCTTTGACCCAACACTCTGCCTCTAGAAATTTATCTTACATATATTCTCTCACACTGGGCAAAATGACAGTGGTTATTCATTGTAACATTGTAACTGCAGAAGACTGGAAGTACTCTTAATGTCAAGCTATATGGAGTTTAGTTAAATTAATTATAATTTATCAGTAGAAAACTATGCCAATGTAAGAAATAATGAGAAAGGTATTTATATAGGCTATAGAGCAGAGGTCAGCAAAATATGGCCTAAAGGCCAAATCCGGCACACTGCCTATTTTGGTACAGGCCATAGCCTCAGAATAGTTACTGCCTTTTTAAGTGATTGGAAAAAAATTTTTTTTAATTTCACTATGCATTATAATTATATAGTAACTCAAATTTCTATGTCTATAAATGGAGTTTACTGAAACACGGCCACACCCATTCATTTACATATTTTCTGTGACCACTTTCACACTATAAGGGCAGAGCTGAGTAGTTGTACTAGAGGCCCCATGGCCTGCAAAATGTAAAATGTTTACATTTTACATTTTTTACATCTGTCCAATTATAGAAAAAGTTTGGCAACCCTAATATAGAGTGTTTTCTGAGGTATTTTGTAAAATGGAAAAGGGAAGGTACAGAAATGGTATACAGTATGCTATTTTTTAACAAAGAGAAAATAACAATATAAGCATAAAATTTCTCTGGATATTTCAGAGAGAAAAATAGGGTGACTAGGGGATAGGAGCATCATTTCCCAATTATGTCTTTTTTATATTTTAATTTTTGAATGAAATTGATTCAAATTGATTTTAATTATCTATCCAAACACTTAAATTTTTATGACTTTTGTAAAGTATAATCTCAACCTCAAAATTAAGCTAGAAATCAATCTTCATCTGTTTAAAGTACAGACAGTCCCTGCTTTATGAGTTTCTGACTTTACAATGGTGTGAAATCAATACACATTTGGTAGAAACTGTACTTCAAGTGCCCATACAACCATTCTGTTTTTCACTTTCAGTAACATATTCAATAAATTATATGAGATATTTAGCACCTTATTAAAAAGCAGGCTCTGGGTTAGATGATTTTGTGGGTTAAGGTAAACATTCTGAGTACATGTGAGGTAGGCTAGGCTAAGTTATGATGTTGGGTTAGGTGTACCAAATGCATTTTCAACTTATGATATTTTCTATTTAATGATGGGTTTATTGGGATATAAACATTGTAAGTCGAGGAGCATCTGTATTCAATATTGATAGGAAGCCTTAGATATAGCAGAAGGAGTATTTGTAAACAAACTTCCTGGAAATTAATTTGGTATATATATAAAGAACCTTTTAAAAGTGCATACCATTTATATACCCAGTAATTCCACTTCTAGGAATCTGTCCTAAAAAATTTAAAAGATCAGACAAAGACTCATGTAACAAGATGTGTAAATTATATAATTTATAATGGTTGAAAAAATTGTAAATAGTCTACATATTCAATAATAGTAGAATAGCTAAATAAAATATGATACATTAATATGATGGAATATTATATAACTATTTTTTAAATGGTGCTGTTGGAGCATATTTAATGCCATGAGGGTATTTTACCATATCATCTTAAGTTTAAAAAGAGAAATAAATGATTGTATATGCAATTTTATTTTCTTTTTAATATATATGCATGGAAAAATGCTGGAAGTAAATATATCAAAATGTTAACAGGTATAATCTTTTCAATTTTTTATTTTTTTATTTTTAATTTTTATGAGTACACAGTAGGTATATATATTTATGGAGTAAAATATATGAGATATTTTGGTACAGGCTTGCAATGTTTAATAATCACATCATGATAAATGGGGTATCCATCCCCTCAAGCATTTATCCTTTGTGTTACAAACAATCCAATTATACTCTTTTAGTTATTTTTAAAAGTATAATTAAATTATTATTGACTGTAGTTCCCCTGTTGTGCTGTAAAATACTGTCATATTCATTCTATTTTTTTGCACACATTAACCCTCCCAACCTCCCTCCCACCCTCCCCTACTGCCCTTCTCAGCCTCTGGTAACCATCCTTCTACTCTCTATCTCCATGAGTTCAATTGCTTTGATTTTTAGCTCCCACAAATAAGTGAGAACATGTGATGTTTGTCTTTCTGTACCTGGCTTATTTCATTTAATAGTTCATTGTCTTTTAATGGTAGAACTGTGGGTGTTTTTATTTTCTTTGTTGTTTCTTTTTGAACTTCTCGCATCCTCCCTGAAATGAGTATATACTATTCACATAATTGGGGCAGGGGTGATTGGTGGAGAGGGATTGGGTGAAGGGCATACTTGCCTTCTTCCTTCCATAGTAGAGCAGTCTAGTGAATTTCTCCACGATCTGCGCAGGTGTCTCCACACTGGGGGGGATCTCTCCGGTGAGCAGGTTCGGGGTCCCAGAGCTCAGCACTGGCCAGTCCTCATCGGTCAGGCTGATGAGGTTGGCCACAGGGGGCTGCCGTTTGTACTTCTCCAGCTTCTTGCAGTCTTGCATTAGCAGCTCAGCAATGTCAGACCCCACCATGGACTGTAAGGCAAAGAGGATCATCTGAGGAGAATCCTATGGGTCCTCAGGCTGGCCGCCCCAGCTGGAGAAGGAAGGCACCAGGGAGCCTGCCTTCTTCGCGAGGAGTCCAATTATACAAACATAAGGCAGTCCTTTCTTAGATTGCTATATTTCAAACTTCAGCATCACTATCATGGTTATTTTTTGCCTGTCAGGAGCCACAAAGCTTACCAGAAACATTTACAATTTCACAGGTATATTACCTGGCTGGTGCAATAACTCAGAAACTACAATATTCCCAGACCAAGGAAGATCATCAGGGAAGATTTGCATTAGCAAACTGGCATTGACATTTGAACAATTTTTCCCCTTGGGGCAATTTGTGGCTTCTTTAACATTGCTTTTCATAATCATGCCATAAACATAATCTTATCTATCCCATGAAGACTTCAATTTCAGCCTGCACCTGCTCTCCCACCAAAACAGTAACTTACCCCATTCTGGCGACAAAGGAGAACCAAGAGCTGCCACAGTAGAGCCGAGTCTCTGCTCCCCAGTGTCTCAGATTTGCAGCTCTGAGCTGCTTTCTGCTGGCAAAACGTCATAATATCCACCTTATGTATATCTTCCCTACATGGAAAAAATTTAGGGAGCGAAGAGTGAGCAGGCAGACACTTCCCTGTTTCGGACCCCAGGCTCCTCCTAAGTATGCAAGTGCTGGCTGGGCTGTGGTTGAGATAGAAATCTGACAAGCCAGGGCTAGGGTAATGAGTCTATAGCTATAGGATAGTTATTTTCTTATAGAACAGGAAGAAATTTCAGAGATTCTCTCATGCACCCCCTCCATTTTATAGATGAAGCAACAGAGGCCCAGAGACCTGAAGTCACTGCACAGGATAGCAAGTAAAAGCAGACTTTGGAGTCAGACAACCCTGGGTCTAAATCTCGGTCTGCCACTTCTCTGTTTAGACAAGTTTCTTACCTCCTCTGAGCCTCAGCTTTGTCCCCTAAAATAGGGACAGTAAAAGAACCTACCTCCATACAAAGAGGAATTAGAAAATTGTGTGGCATGTATTAAGTGATCAATATGATTGGCATTATGATTTGCTCAAGATCATCCAATAACATCAAAGCCAAGTTAGGCTTAGTACCCCAGTCTTTGAATAACCCAATTCACTTTTTTGACCCATATCTGTATACCCGTGTGTAAGAAACAGAGAGAACACTCATTTTTACTTGAGGGAACTGTCAGATGCCGTAAGAGGAATACATTTATATAGTAGTGATGATACTTTCCATGTGCATAATCTCACTTGAGACTCACAGACAAGCCTCGGGTAGGGAGAGCAGGTGTTATACCACTTCCAGAGGGAAAACTAAGGTTCAGAGAGGGCTGACCTGTCCACCATGGTATTCCTAGTACATAGGATGCCCGAGCCTGAGACCCATGTTGGCTGTCATCCAGCAAGGACTCTCTCCTCAACAAAGATGCCCTGAGTTACATTTATCAGGAATATAACTAAATATTTAAAAGCAGTCCTAGCTGAGTACTGCAGAGGGCTCACTCGCACACTGTTCCGTAACTTGAACACTGCCGATCTTATCTACCTCTCCAGGAAAAAGCCACCGTCACAAGAATTGTTTCTGCTGTGATCCACTCGTCAGGGACTTCCCAGGCGATGCTCCACTTTTCTGCTAACATCTGTCAAGCACACGGAACACTAACACTTCCTACCGTGCAGCCTCTGCAAAATGGAACTGGTTTTAGATTTCTAAACTGTCATGCTAATTTTGCTTTCTGTCCTTCAACTATTGAATGGCTTGTCAAAATGACTCAGGCCACATCTGGTTCTATCTTGTAGCACAGAGAATTCCACTCCAACAAGGACGGACTTTTTTTTCCAAGGAAACCAAGAACATATCTCCAAAATGCTGATCTGAGCAGGAAGATTGCCCTTACTCAGCAGCTCTTACAGCACTTTACCTAATCAAGGGTCCTGAGAAGCTTCTCATCTCCTCTTGCTCTTCGGAATCATTCAGAATAACCTGCAATAAAACAATCAGATTTTATCTTTAAGACTGTGTCCACCCTAGGCCCCTTTCAGTCAAGTCTAGTATCAGACCCCAGGGCCGTGGGGCTAGGATGTGGCTCAAGGCCTTGTGGAGAAAGCAGAAAGGAAAAAGTGAATCTTGCTGCTAAAGATGAGCCACTGACATCTCAGGAAAAACATAACTCTAGCATCAATTCTTTCAGAGAAGAGCCCCACCCATTCCTGCACCCCCTAATCCAGGGGGTACCTGGACCAGTTTCCACAAGAGCATCCCATTCCCGGAGATGCCCCAGCTCAGGCACAGGAAAGCAAGGTAAGCACGTTAGGAGTAGTTAGGTAAGCAGTGTGCCGGTGCACAGCTAAATTTTTTTATTTTATTTTATTTTTTATTTTTTTTGTAGAGATGGAGGTCTTGCTATGTTGCAATTTGGGGTCTCAAATTCATGGGCTCAAGTGAATCCTCCTGCTTTGGCTACAAAGTCTGCGGATTACAGGTGTGAACCATAATACCTGGACCCATGAATTTCTTACACCTGCATTCCAAGGGAAAGCATGGCACTGAGGCATAATAGGTGCTCATTAAACAGTCAATGAATAGGGCCAGGCACGGTGGCTCATGCCTGTAATCCTAGGGCTTTAGAGGCTGAGGTGGGGCAGATCATGATGTCAAGAGATTGAGACCATCCTGGCCCAACATGTGAAACCCTGTCTCTACTAAAAATACAAACATCAGTTCGCGTGGCTGGTGGTGCACCTGTAGTCACAGCTACTTGGGAGGCTGAGGCAGGAGAATCGCTTGAACCCAGGAGGTGGAGTTGCAGTGAGCTGAGATCGTGCCATTGAACTCCAGCCTCATGACAGAGCAGACCTCTGTCTCAAAAAAAAAAAAAAAAAGTTGATGAATGAATACTATGAATTACTTGAAATATATAGGGCAGATATGATTATAATCACAGATGAAAAGCACTGAGGCTCAGAGAGCCTAAGTCACGTGTCCAGGGGACCAGCAGCTGAGTATAAGACAAAGCGAGATTTGAATTCAAGGGCCCCTGGACCCCAAGGCCTCCGCTCTTTCCATTGGGTCATAAATATATCCTTTGGCAAATGCTATCAACTTGATTTTCTCTTTTTCTCTCCTTTCCATACATCCACTTTCACTGTATGTGTTTTTTTCTTGAAGGAACGCTTGAGAAGACCACTCTCCTGAAACTTCTTCCTATGTGTTTTGTATTGTTTTTTAACTTTTCAGCCATCACACTGGCTAGTGAGTCAACCTCTCCAGCAGGCTGAGGTCCTTGTCTCAGCTCCAGCAGCTATGAGCTCAGTCCGTACATCACAGATGCCTCGCGAGCGGGATGATCCCCCAGCTTCAGCAGCTTGGAGTCGCAGTTCAGGCTGGTGGGTTCTAAAATGATCACAGAGTTGGTTGAAATCTGATTTGGAAAGGCTGGGTGGAAAGTCTCTGGGAAAGTCAGCCTTATGGTGGAATCTTGTCCACCGCATTTGCTTAATGTAGGTCTCTGGGGCAGAGAGGTCAAACTTTGTTCCATTTCTTTTTTTATTTTTTTTCCTGAGAGCGCGAGTCTCGCATCTGTGGCCCGAGGCTGAGCTGCAGTGGCCAGATCTCGGCTCACTGCAAGTGCCGCCTCCCAGGTTTAAC